TATCTGAAATTGACACTGAAGAAGGTAAGGGTGGAAGCCGGTTTCATTTTTCAGAGGGTTGGAAGGCTGCGCTGCGCCCGCCGCGGCGGCTCCCGCTCCGGGAGTAGGAGGGTGGGGGAGTGATTATGTATGCACCAGCTAATTCTTCCATCAAAACTTCTTGTCAGCGATGTCAGGATTATTTTTTTTTCCTTTTATGAAAACACTTGGTGTTTCAGGAAGTGTTAATCCCTGAAGATTGGGGGATAAGGGAGGGGGTGGGAAAGGAGTGGGGGGGGGGTGACATGTTTCTTGAGCCTGCGGAAGGCACCCTTACTTAAGAGCCTTCTGCCTGTCTACTCTGGAGTTGGGGTTTGTTGTGGAGCTCGGGACTGGAGGAGGGTTTCTCTTAGTGATGGGAGGGGGGGCCACTACTCTCTATACTGCATACCACGGAGGTTCCTATGGCCATGTGGGATGAGGAACAGAAAACTTTGCTTTAGCCTACAGTTTCAGGGCGTTTAACCCAAGCAGTGGGATGATAAAAAACAGAGAATTCTGAAACTGGCTTATAAAATACACAGGAACAAAGAGATGGATACCAGGATAAAGATTCATAGCTGGGGGCCTGGATGGCTTCTTCCCTCCCAATTTCTCTTGATCTTGATTTTGATAGGGTTCTATATCCAGCACCAGACTTCCCTTTGCTTAGGTGACAGAAATGGACAATTTTTACAAGGGGAGGTATGTAGTTAATTTCTACATCAAATGACACTTTGAGGATGAATTCAGACTCTGTGCAGATAGCTGGGGAGTAAAAACTTTTTTGTGGCTCTTAAAACTAGTGCCAAATAAGGAAGGCTGAGGAGTCATCCAACCCAGCCCAGGTGCAGATTCCAAGAAGAAAGAAGGAAAAATAAATGATCAATGAAGGAAAGCTGTAAATTGTAAACATGTTTCCAATTTTATATTTTTAAATATATTGCCTAGATTTAGGAGCTGAGTTCTTCTGCAATTAGACCACCACTTGCAGGGCCCAGCAGCCCTGGAGGCTTCTGAAAGCCAAGACCAGTGAGGAGGGGGTTGGGGTTTGTTTCTTCTGCCCCACCTCCACCCCTATTACCCCTTTTATAGCCAGTGCATGTAAAAGAAGATATTAAAGAGGTATCTGTTGTTGGGCAATTTTGCTAAGTCTGTCTTCATTACTTCGATGCTGTGCATTTGCTAATTTGGAGGCCCGGCCATTGACAAGCTTGCTCCATACACCTGCAAGCAATTTGCCGGCTTCGGTACCGTAGAATTGCAGAGATGGCAGCTCGCACCTATTTGATTTTTTTTCCTTTTCTCAATGCACAGCAAATTTGGCTTTCAGTGTGTTATCTCTTTTGTTAATGCAAAAAGATTCCCTGGGCGAAAAAATTGCTCATAATTACCAGAGAGATGGGGAAACTGCATTAGAATAAATAAACCTGAAATTACTGTAATTATGTTGTGTTTGATGGGCCTGGCTTGTAATCAAGAAGAGAATACAGTGAAATGATGCTGACCCTCTTGGGTTTGCAGCTGTACGCGCACTTTGGGGTCTTTTTTGCAGAAAAGAGTCATTTTGATAATCATTAAGCTGTGTGTAACCTATTTCAGAAGTGTTTTAAAATGAGGTTCACATTTTTTGAACAAGGGAAAAAAAATCCCAAAATTGCATTTTGCCATTACAGACTCATACATAAGGAAAGGTTGTGTTTTCTAAGTGACAATTGTTAAGACATAATATTCAAAATCAGTATTTAATCATTATAATGAGGTATTGTTTAAATATAACCACCTTTAGATTATTCATAGTTTAATTAATATACTCATTATGAAAATCTTTGAATCAGATATTTGATGAACTACTTGTCAGTAACAAGGCAGCATTAATTAGGCCTATACTGAGATTAACATTTTTTAAAAGTACAACCGCTTATAATTATAAATACAGTCTAACTAAAGACCGCCTTCGTTGAGCTAAAACTAATAATTTCTCTATTTGAACTGTCAGCAAGAGATTATTAAATTAGTATAAGCTAATATCTCAAAGTATTAAAATCCGCTTGACCAAACAGATTTTGCCTGTGGCTTGAGGCTTGGGCCCGGCTGCCTTCCGGGGAGCCCCAGTCAGATGCGCGAGAGAAATTCCTCGCTGGCAAAGCTACACCTCACAGGGGAAACTAAGCTAGAAATGCCCCCTGTCCCAGGGCCCCGAGCCCAGCCTGGAAATTTGGTTCACTCTGTGTTTGAGGCCCATCCATCTGCCCGCATCCTAGTCGTGGTGGTCTGATCTCCTCTAGCGCTCCAGGTTCTGGGGGCCGGCGAGAGAAGAAAAGTTCCGATCCCAGGCCCGCAAGGGGCCTCCAGGTCCCGGGCTCCATCCCCCACTACCTTCCCGTTCCCCTTCACCACCCCTCCCCGCCGCTTCCTCCGCCCCTTTCCAAAGGGCGTCAGAAGGGCCCGCACATCTGATCTTTCACCAGCACCAATTGAAAAATGGGTGCTTGTCACAACACAGATCACTGCCTTCCCGGCTCTGCTCCCCACCGCGCGCCAGAAGAGACCCCCCAAAAGGAGGAGGGCCAGCCCCCGCGGGAAGCATCCTCTGAAGGCGGGCGAGGGAGAAGCGGGAAATCAACCAGCACAGCCCGCAGCTTCCTATACTGCCTGGGCTCAGCTGGGGTGTCTGAGGCTGAGGCTGGGCGGGGGCGCAGGGCCATGCGGCGGAGGAGGGAGCCACAGCTGGTTCTAGCCGCTCCCTAGCCCTTGTTCTCGGCGCGAACTGACCAGAGCGCTCAGCTGGAGGCGCCCCCTTAGAGGCCTGGCTTCGAGACTGTCTTGGAGTGGGGGTTCCAACTAGTTAGCCGAGCCCATCCTCCCCTCTCTTGCCACCTCCATTTCTCGAGGACTCAGGGAAGAGCCTGGATCATTAGGCGAAATGGGCCTCCCTCTCATTGATGGGCCCGGGTAGGGTGGGAGCGGCTATGGAAGGGCCGGAGTGAGATCTTGGACTGTTCTCTGTCCCCCGGAGCGCACTGATTGATTGGGGGGTTAGCCTGACAGACGTGTCCTTCAGTTTCTTCCTGGCGTCTGGCGGTGTCCTTTCCGCTATGGGATCCAGCGCCCTCCCGGAGAGCGAGAGCCGGAAGGCCGGATACGGGCAGGGGCAAGGGGTAAAGGGGGTTGTTTCTGCTTCTAGACCTCTCGTGTCGTGGCTAGATGGGGGGGGGGGGTGAAGTCTCCCAGAACAGCTGCCTTTGAACTCTGCCTTCATCCGCTCTCGGCCCAGCCTTGACGTCCCTTGGCTTCCCGAACCCCAACTCTCTGCCTGTCAGGCACCTGTTCCGGACGCCTCTTCCCCAGGTCCCTCCTCAGGCACTCTCTCTCCAACTCACGTGGGGATCAGACTCTTTGGGAGTTGGAGTTGCTAAGCAAGAGAGAGAGGCCCAGCGGCTCGCAGGGGTCCATACCTAATGTGCCTAGGGTCTGGTACCCCCACTCTGGCCAGGCCCCAGTAGTTGCCTGCCCAGATGCTGCTTGTCCCCAGTGATAGTCCGTTGATGTCCCTGGTGCCCTCTCACCGGTACACAAAACAGCAGCTCTTTCTCAAAACCATAATTTTACTGTCTCAAAGAAACTTTATAACTTATTTACAAAGTTCTTTTTTTCCCCAAGATACAAAGCAATAAGTTAACATTCTCAATATAAAACTAAACTTTGACATAGAGAACACAGAACACGGTTGATTTCAACGGATCACATTTTCCAAATTTCACAAGTAAAATGTCAAGATTCTCATTTCACAAAACATGGGGTTTTACAGCCACACACAACAGAACGGAAAAAGGCTAAGCTTGTGCAACATGTTTACAGAACAAGAATAATAATCAATAACAATAATAATAATATGTACAGCGATTAAATCCTGCGCCGGAGACTGCGTTCAGGGTGGTAACTGGCGTTATTCTGGAGTTTAGCCTCTGGAGATTGTTTTAAAGCTGCTTTTATCTTACTTTAAAGCCCACTGGATTAGGGAGCTCTCTCATGCCTGCCTGTTTTCTCTCCGCTGCCCATCGGTCCCCTCTTTCTCCCCACGGAGGGAATTAAGATTTTCCTTCTTGTCCAGGCAAAGACACCAAGCGTGTTCCTCCGGAGATAAGAAAATCGTGTGGGCTTCATTTCTCTTTCTTTTATTATTATTATTTTTTAATAATACGGACATCTAAAAATGCAAATCACTCGGCTCCAACCTCTCCATACCAGCAAAGTACAAAAGTTACTGTAAAAGTTAAAAATCACCATATTCTCCTTATTTGTCCGGGTGCATTTAAAGTAAACCGTGAGTTTGGACAGTGCGCTCGGCGCGCCCCCACAGAACCGCAAACTGGTCAGCGCTCCGAGCCTCAGGTGAAGTCCGTTTTTCAATAAATAAAAGCCCCTCCCTCCAATGTCCCCCATTTCCCAAACAAGCTACACAGATGTCCAGGGAGAGCCCAGGAGACGATCCGAAAGGACACAACGTCCCAGTATTCCCGAGCTGGGCATCCCGGCGAATGGTGTACCCTCCGACCCAGTGACTATTTGCAGAGGCCAGAGAATGAGGACGGTGAACGCATGAGGACCTCGACTTCGTCAGCGCACAGACATAGAGCAAAAGGAGACAAGAGACAGGACAGAAAAGAGCTTTTGCTTTTTTTGATATTGTTTTTGTTGTTGTTCCTGATAGCCCCACAAAGCTTATGGTCGGCGAGTCGGGTCGAGCGGGCTTGCCTTGCTGCTGCGGCTGTCTCCAGCGGCTGTGCCTGTACTGCGAGGCCGCTCTCCGCTGTCACCCGGCGGCGCAGGCCGGGGTCGGGGCAAGGACACGGGCCAAGGGCGCCGGGGAAGTCGCCGGGCCGGATTGCGCGGGACTCCGAGGAGGCGGCGGGCGTCTTGCTTTTACTGTCCCTTTTACCTTCCCTCTGGGCCCTTCTCCTCCGCGCCCAGGGCACGCAGACAGGGTGGATGGACCGGGAGGTGGGAAGGACCCGGCCGGGGAGGCGGGAAGGAGGCGGGCCGGTGCGGGCAGGCAACCTCACATGAGCTGGGGTTGCTGCATAGCTTCTTGGTGCGCCGAGGGGTACCACGATGTGTAGCTGGGAATGTAGGAGCCCGCGCTGCCGCCGGAACCCTTTCCCGACGAGGAGTTGGGGTTCCAGCCGGGCGGCACCGGTGGGGAACCGGCAGACAGGGCCCGGCCGTTGGCCAACGCACTACCCTCCAGAGCTGCCCCGCCCTGCTTCATCAACTTCTTGAACTTGGAGCGCTTGTTCTGGAACCAGATCTTGACCTGCAAGAGCGGACAACAACGTGACTGGGGCTAGGGCTGTTGAGCCCACCAAGGTCTCGGGGAGATAAGGGGACCGCGGAGGGCGGAGAGACGAGCCTCCTCTGCCCTGGGTGATCTGGCAGCTCCCTGACGGCGGAGCAGAGACCCCCCAATAAAAGTCAAAGGCGCAGAGGCCAGGCCGCCAGCGGGGCCCTCAGGGGAGCGTGGCGGTGATCCGCAAGCTGCGACCCGGGCCGTCGCTTGCCTGGGGCACAAGCCCGACCCCGGCGACAGTATGCAGAAGACGCAGCGCCCGGAGAACCCCGAGCGCCAGCAATTCCAATACGTACATCAATAAAAGAATCGAAAACCTAGGAAGGAGTGGAGGAAATTTATCTGCAACGCGGGCTGCCTTCTCTTTGCACCGTCCTTCCTGCCCTTCAGTGAGTTGGAAGCCGGCTGAGGAGGCCGCAGGGTTTTGTTGAACTTTTTTTTGGACTCAAACCCACCTTTTCTTAGGATCTGTTTGCTTCTCCCTGCTCTGCTCCAAATCGCGGGCAGGCGGGACGTTGGAAACCCACACCAGCCACGATCAGGAAGCCCATGTGTCTTAGAGAAATCTGGGAAAGAAGGCCCCATTTCTCCTCCAGGGTCTGGGACTGGGAGGTGAGAGGGCGGAGGAAAGGACCCTCCTCCCTTGTCGGGTGAGGAGGAGAAGGAGGAGGAGGGAGACAGGGGCGCCAGCGGAGGCCCCAAGTGATTGGCCCCATACTTTAAAGGAAAAGGAAGGATTAAGCCCTGTGTCTATTGTTCCAGTTGTTCGGGCACGTGTGAACCCAAACAAAACCTCCCCAAACAAGACGGCTAGGGAAATCCTTCCTGTGCCCTAATCAGATTGTCCAGGGTTGGGAGGTGGGGAGGCCGGGTGACAGGCAGCGCGGGGTACAGAGTGCAGTGGTAGAGCCAGGGCAGAGAAAATGAGGGAGGAAGAAGAGATGCCAGGGGCAAATGCGTGCGTGTGTGTGTACGTGACACATACACCACACATGCTGACACCCCGACCCTGAGGCCCAGAGAGCAGGATATGAAGGCAGGGGCTCAGGCCAACCGCGGGAAGCCTGCGTGGCGGAGGGGCAGCGGCGAGGTACCTGCGTCTGCGTGAGTCCCAAGGAGGCCGCGAGCTCCGCCCTCTCGGGCAGAGCCAGGTACTGAGTTTGCTGGAACCGCCGGTTCAAAGCCTGCAACTGCAAACTGGAATAAATCGTCCTGGGTTTGCGGATCTTTTTCCCCTTGCCATTGAAGCGCACTTCACCGCCTTCCACCACCGTGCTCTTCTCGGAGTCCGCCCCTGGAGGGACAGCAGAAGCGGGGGCCTTTGTTAATGCGTAGGGCCACCGTTAGTGCGGGGATCCGAGCACTAGTGGCTACCAAGGGGTGGCGGAGGCAGGGCCAGGGAAAGAACGCTCAAGAAACTCCAAAAGCCAGGGAAGGGTCCTGCAAAGTCCAAGGGCCCGCCCCGGGCCGCTGCAGGCGGGCTGGGGCCGTTTTCCCAGGCTAGCGGCTCCTGCCTTTGCAGGGAAAGTTTGCTATTTTTGCAGGCGGTAGTTGAGGTTTAATTACCCTTAATTGCATACATTGTTTATAGCGCTACGCAATAAATAATTACCGAGACTAATACGTGCACATGTGGGTTTCTGTTTTCCAGCGGGGCATTGTGTGCTTGGCGCACGGAGCCGCCCAGAAGCCCAGACAGTGCCAGGGGACGCTCTCGGATTTATCCTTGGCTGGATAGTAGCGAGTTGGGTGAATTTTTTTTTTTAATTTCTTTTACTGTGACAAGGACCCATAGATTGATACCCGAAACCTCCGCTGCTCCCGCGCCCTCCCCACCCCCACCCATCTCTCTCTCCCCCTCTCCCTCCTCTTTCATCCCCTGCCTTCGTACTTCCTCCTCTCCATCTTCCCAGCGGGCGCACGTACCTGGGTCCTCCAGGCGGCTCTGAGCGAGGTTGGCGCTGCCCGGGTAGGACTGCACGGAACTGATGTAGGGGCTGGACGCGTGGCTGCTGACCGAGTTGACGTAGGGGTAGCCCAGCGGTCGGGAGAAGGACGAGGCCGAGCTGTAGGCGCCGTCGGGCTGCGAGTGACCCGCCGAGTGTAAACAGTGCATGGAGTAGTGCCCGTGGGACATGGGAGAAGGAGACATTTGTTGGTTGGGCGGCCCAAACTCCATAAACACCGCCTTGCCCGACACAGGGCTGTTGAGACTTTCTGGCATGGTGGTCATGGTCATCTCTTCTCGCGGGGTCTAGGTGTGGGTCTTTCTCTCCTCTGCTTCCCTTTTGGGGGTCTCTGTGTTTCTCAGGACAGGAAGGAACCCAATTTAAGCAGAACAGGGGTTTTCACTTTCCATTCATAAGAAAATGGAGTTTGTCTCTTTGAAAAGTCTAAGCATGATGCTGCCGAGCTCCCCAAACTCGCTTCAAAGCTTTGACTCAGCCAAGGTCATAAATATTCATGAGTTGGCGGAGCTGATTGGTCCGTTGTCTTGCATAATCACCGGGGATTGGTCCGAGGTGCTCGGGCTCCGCTGGACTAGAGCGGACAAGGCGGCCGGACCTCGGGAGAGACGCGTCCACACTTCCCGGCCGGGGCTTCTCTGCAACAGAGCTCGCCTTGTAGGGCGCACAATGGGCTGCGGTGCCCGCGTCGGGATCTCCGCGGCCCGCGACTCTTCAGCCTCCCGCCTCCCCGGCGCGCCTTCCTCCCCAGCAACCAACCAGCGGCTCCGCGCCGCCGCCCTCCCTCCTGCTGTCCCCACCCTTCGCCCGCCCCCAGCGCGGAGGACCCGGGGCCGCTTCTCGCCGCCGCCACCCGGCTGGGCGCTAAGTCTGGGGCGGCCCTGGAGAGTGGTCACGGCCTCCGGAGCGGGGAGTCGCGCACTGGGGGGGCGCCCGTGGCGGAGAGCAGAGCGCTAAGCTCCGGAGGGTCTGGGGCCTCGCTCAGGGCCCTCTTGGCGGCGCCTGGCCTCTTGCGGCTTCCCCACATCCCTGAGGTCGGGTTTGGGGCCCTCCCCGCGAACTCACTCACTCGGCCGCCGCGCCTCTGCAGCTCCTCGAGGTCGGCTAGCATTGCTCCGGGCCCAGCTGGCCACTCCAGCGCGAGACTGCACAGGTCTGATAAAAGCACTGCGCGCAGAGAGCCAGGAACCCGCGCTTCTCCTCCCAGGAAAGGCGGCTGCACCGCCTCCCCCCACCAACACAAACCCCTCTTTCCCTCCCAATCTTCCTCCACCTCCCCTCCCCATTCCCTCTGCGCCTAGCGCCCCACTCTGACTCTCCCTTAGCCTGCGGCGCCGCGTGGAGCCGGGGGCTGGCGGGCTCAGTTCTGCTTGAGCCGCGGAATCCAGGTGGTCATTTTCCCACCTCCTGGGGTCTGGTGAGGGTACCTGAGGTTTAGGAGTCCCTGGGGGACACTGAATAAGGAGCCTTGGTGGCGCAGTGGTAAACTGCTCGATTGCTAACCGAAAGGTGGGCGGTTCGAATCCACCAGCCTCTCCGCGGGAGAAAGATGTGGCAGCCTGCTTCCGTAAAGATTACACCCTTGGAAACCCTATGGGACAGTTCTACGCTGTCCTGCAAGGTCGCTATGAGTCGGAATCCGACAGCAACCCGTCTGGTTTGGGGGACACCGAAATCGTGGCAAAATCAGGCCTTTGGTAGGCTCCCATATCTAATACGTAGACATCTCCCTCTTTGAAGCCCAGGATCCTCCCGCCAGCTGTCCAAACGGGCGCCACCGGCCTGGGGGACAGGGCTGGTGGAGGCAAGAGCTGCCACAGCGCCTTCTATCTTTTGGGGCACGAGGTACAGAAACGCGCACAAACCCCCGCCACACACACACAAACAACCGCACAACTACCCAGGCGCGGCAGGGCGCGCACCATGCTGGCTGCTAGAAGCTGTTGGTTCCCCATCCCGCCAGCCCCACGGTGAATCCCAAATTACTTTGTTAGGTAATTAGAAAGTGTTGATAATTATTTCTTTCATAATTTAGCGGTGTGACGGGAACAGGGAAATGATCTTGTGAAAGTTCACACGTGCAGATGTATTAGTTACTGATTCATTTGATTAAATGGTAGTCTCAAGTGCTCGGATCCGCAGCTGAAGGCTCCCCATTAGCATAACACTGATGTTTAATTTTCATACGCATAATTAGCCATATATTTAACACTAATAGCAACATGCAGCCTTTCAGCGTTAAACAGCCCGAGATTTGATCTGGCCTGAGCTGAACCTTCGTCGCTGCACCTTCCCCTGTCTGGAGAGCGCAATGATCACGGTACAAACCTCTGTAATCAAGCACATTTTGGCAAAGAGGGAACACCAATAAAAATGAACATTCAAAACAAATTACATCGGTGCTGTCGTTACAGATATTAGTGGAGGGGGCTTCTCTGTTTTTTAACTTCGGTAGCAGCAGCTGCTGCCCACAGAATTCCTCTTTAGCTGAAGGGCACAATGCTGGGGGCAGAAATATTTCAGGCAGCGTGGTTGGAGCAAAAAAGAAAATAAAAGCAAAAAAACCAAACCAACAAACAAACAAACAAAAAAAAAACAATCTTCCAAACCAATAATGGGTTTGCCAATATTTAAAAGGTCCCCCCCACCCCACCCCAAATCACCGAACGACAAGGCAAGGCTTTGTAGCAACAACCAACTAATGACTTCGCAACCAGACAACCGCCGGAGCCGCTCGGCTCGTTCTGATTTCCTGGTTGCACTTGTAGTTTTAATTGCTCCTTCTTAGTGCCTGTTTTGGGGTGAGGAGTGCCATGCTGTGAGCCCAGCCTAGCCATGCAGATGCCGCCCGGGCCCCAGCTATTCTGCCCGCTCCTCGCGGGTCCTGCTCACGTAAGTGATCATCGCGGCGGGTTCGGGGTCGAGGTTGGGTCCTGGCTGGGGACTCCCAGGGCTCAGGTAATCGTGTGAGGAAACCCGAGGGCCTGGCAGCTCAGGGCCCGTTTATTCCCGAGAATTGTAGGGCGGGGGAAGGGGAGAGAGGCGGCAGCACGTTGCGACTGTCTCCGGGCGCTCCATCACTCCACATCTGGAAGTGGGATCCAAGTCTTTCGCGTCGCGGGGAACAAGGCTGATTCCCGGAAACAAAGACCCCGCATGCACCCCCTCCGTAAACAGTTTCAGAGTCTTGCTTATTTTGAGAAGTGAATTCGTGGGATCAAGGGAGTGTCTACACTTCCGAATTATTTCTAAGCCTCAGAGAAGCAAGTCAGGCGAGGGGCGCTGAGCCGGGGTCCCCGGTGCGCCGAGTCTCCCCGCGTTGGCTTGCTTTTCCACGTGCAATCTTACCTCTCCTCTACGAGCCCAGAGTGGATTGGCACACCCCTCGCAACCGGTGAGACGACACCTGTTCTGAAACCCCGGTTTGCTTAGGTCTTTGCCTGTCCCAACTCTGAGGGGAAACAAAACTCTCCGTTTTATCCCGAGAGCCCCGCATTCGGAGTAGAACTGTTAGAGGCACTTCCCAGGACTAGGTGCCTGGTAGTGTAGCTGTAGCCAAGTGTGGCTGGAAACCTGATGGCCCCAGGGTGAGGTTTGGGGCCAGTTCAGCTGGCAGAGGGGGCGGGGAGGTATGTATCAGGTATTTTTAAATCTGCTTCCTAATTTCAACCTGAAAGCATATTAAACGTAGTTCATTCTACTTCCAGTTTGTTTCCTACTGCTGTGTATTGGCTGGCGCTGGTGGAATGTGTGTGTGTACACACACACACACACACACACATATTAAACTTTGGTAGTCACTTTAATAAATGGGATTATAAACGTGTCCTATAAATATACCCACCTAGGAATAACTGCTGCACAAGCAGGGTGTTACTCCAGCGGTTGGTTAAATTCTGTGGTCTTAATAAATTTATTCTTGAGGAACCTCAGAGTAAACAGATCTGCAGATAAGATTGGGCACTAATCGTTACAATCCCACTTTCCTTGGAGAGAAGTGAAGTCGTTCACCACGAACCTCTCCCAAGGCCAGCTGGGCTCTCTCTGGGGAATCCAGAGTGCTCCAGGCGCCCTAGTCTATGGATCTTGGCCAACTCCTGAGCACCTCGAAAGTTTTTTCTGTGGTCCTTGTGAACTCCCACCCCCTTCCTCGCCCTTTCCAGCTCTTAGACTCATTATAATTGGAATCGCCTTTGTCCAAAATCTACATTCCTGGATGAAGAGAAACCGAGCTGGGGAGTTTGGGGAACGCCTACGAAAAGTCCCGAGTTCAGGGAAAGCTCAAGTTGCCACTTTTCCTAGCGCGCTCATTGGCCTCAGTTCCCCCATCTCCTTCCCCACTATTCTGTCACAAAGACTAGCTGGCTCTCGGGTCTCGGATCACCGATGCCACCTGTCGTGGCAGCTACAGGTGCCCACATTTCCTTGGCGCTGCCGCCCCCAAGCTGTTTTTAGAGGATGGCAACGTTGCACAACCCGCTTCTGTAGAAACAGAAGTTCGCATAACCAATTCATTGGACTTGATCCTAAAACCATGGCCAGAGGGGGACGGCTTCCCTGAGGCCAGCTCTTCCCCACCCTTGAGCCCGGGTGTGAACAGGTACTGGGGAGAGCGCGCAGAGGAAGAACTGGCCATGGGAGATGCGGGGTGTGGAGGCTTGGGTTTCCTGCTCCTGAAGCGGGTTGGAGCTGCAGTTAAACCTGCCAGTTCCAGCCTCAGCCGACTCGGCTCTTGCCCTCAAACGGGCCCGTGTCTCCTCTCGTTAGGATCCTTTGGGTCAGAAAACCGGGCCTTCGTGGCCCTAGCAGCTTCCGGAAGCAGGTCAAGAGGGCCGGCCTAGAGTAGGGGGTTGGTCAGCTTGGCAGCTAGACTGCAGGCTGAGCTGCCGGACGCTGCTCCCATCTGGGCGGCTGGGCTCATCCGCGCGCGTGTGTGTGTGCGAGGGGGGTGAAGGGGAGAGAGGAGGGGTAGTGTCTTAAATTTAACTTCTGCTATGGCCGTGCGAGGCTGGATGCGGCGGGGAAGGAGGCAGCCGCAGCCAAAAGGAAAGCTTTGTAACCAACGCCTCCATTCGCAGGCCAGGAAGGAGAAACGAATGGAAGGGCTGGCGGGCAGGCGCTGACCCTCGCGAGCGCCCTTGGGCCAGCCAACGTGGGAGCCCCAAGGGGGGAAAATGATTTTTTTTTTTTTTTAATTCCCAGCTAACGAGGCTCAGGTTTTTCTTTCGGCGCGCGCGTGCGTGTGTGAAAAGTTCAGACTCAAAAATTAACCACTCATCCTCACCCCCCAAATAACTGTCAGAGACAGAAAAAGCGCAGGCACAATGGGTTTAAGAGGAGAACATTTTTACTCTGGCAGAGTCAGGACAAGAGAAAGAGAAAAGCCTACCCCTCCTGAAAACCTCTCATCTCCAAATGAGGGCGTCCCTTTCGCCTGCACGGCCGGGGCAGGGCTTCAGCTCTGCGTCCCCAACCTTCCCTAATCCCCACCGCGTTTTCCGAAGACGCTTATTATGCGCCAGGTAGGTTACCGCCCAAGCCGCCGTTTGCCCTTGTCTTCTAAAAATTCTCTTGCTGGATTTCAATGATTTAGGAAAGAAAAGCGTCAGGTGGCCGCGCCTTTCGGGCCGCGCCTCAGGCCTCGTCAGGCAGTTTGGTCAGGATCTGAGCGCCCCTCGACGTGATGAGAACTGTGTGCTCGAACTGGGCGGACCTGAAACAAACACCGCCGCAGTCAAGACGCGCGCCAGGGCCGCGGGCAGGGAGCAACAGCTCGCCTGCGCCGTTGGGCGAGTCTTCCTTTCACTTACGATTGAAAAGCAACAGGGCAGAAAGCAAACACCTTTGATTGTCTACGGAGACCGCAGTCCATGCATCCTCGAGGACTTTAAATTCAGGGGATCCCTCGGTGATGATTGGCTCTGGAAGAGGGAAAATATTTACTGCAGTGACCTCATCAGATTCTTGTCAAACATTATTTCGGCTGATTATCAAAAAAGAGAATAAGCGCCCCCCCCCCCGCCACGTGCTTCCCTCACGGGTTCATGTTGTCATCTTGTAAGGGCTGATAATTGATGCTGCTTACACAGTATACTACAAACTAAACAGTAGGAAGAGGAAACGCTACGGCATTCAAAAATGAATGAAGTTGCCTAGTTCGTAATTTTTTTTTTAGAGAAAGAAGGGCATTTTAATCAAGCCTTAATTAGGACCCCGTGGTTAACAAGCACCCAAACACCAGTCCCTCTTATAAATACCAGCCAGTTTTTTTTTAAATATTTGAATTTTTAAAACATGCTCAAAATGTTCATTAATCAGCAAATAACAATTTTCTTATTTCACTCTAATTGCTTCTTCATTAAGTCCCACAGTCAGAAATATGGTGCCTTCGCGCCCCTGGGTGATTGGAATCTGGAGGTGACACCAATCACACGACCAGCCAGGAACGGGCCGCCAGAGAGCACATACCACTTGCTGACAGGGGGCAAGGAACATAATCGCCCCTAGTTACTGGGCATTAAAGAAAAAAAACCAAAAAGCAAAAAGCAAAACACCACATTATGCTGGTAACAGAATTAGAGGTTGGACGGCTGCCGTCTCCCAAATGTGTCGGTAAGTATCTGATTTCGAAAGATGAGCTCGAGGATATTATATAATTAGATTTACTATACATCCGAATGATTTAATTACGCTGATTGGCTTTATTAGTCCTTCACAGGGCTGCCTGGCCTAGACCGGCACGCCGCTTCTGCTCCAGGAGCCACCACGGAAGAGGCACTCTGGGCACTGACCTATGGTGAACGCCATGCCCTCCTCCATGCGCAGGTCGTTGTCATTCGCTGCAAAACAAAAAACATCGGGAGGGGAGAATGGGAATGGGAAATCAGGAGACAAACAGAAGGGGAGGCGGGTTGGGGCCACTCAAAAAAGTTGTCATTTTATTTCTTTTCTTTTGGGGGAGACCAGGAGGTGGGGGCTTCTAGAGTTCTGGGTGGTGGTTACCACTGGAGTTAAGCACAGAGCTTCTGGGCCTCAGCTGTTGCATTGTTGTGCACAGGGTCACACACCCTGGGAGGAGCTGCCAAGGCAGTCAAGGGCATTTAGGTGTTTCAGACACCTGCCAGGCTCCCCCACGCCACCACACACGTGGCCTCACTGGGTTCTCTGTCTGGCCCAGGCCTCACCACCCCCACCCCAAAGAGAAAGAAGTCAGGTTTCTCCAAGGGAGTGAGTGCAACCTGAGGGCAGCCTCCGGGGTTCCAGTTGGAGCAGGAGAAAGGGGCAGTGGGTCTGCACTTCTGAAATAACTCCAGGCTTTGGGGCTGGGTGGGAAGCAGGGTTGAAAGGCCCTTTCTGCACTCCTGCCAGGCCCTCTTCTGAGCCATGGCAGGTGGGCCTCTAGTCTGAAGAGAGTTCTGACCTGCTGGGTCTCCAAGGATCCTCCAGGGGTGGGTTCTAGGCAGAAGTTCCTTCAGGGACCTCCTCCCCCACTACCAATGGACAGGTCTGTTTAGGGAAATGGCCGACCAAACCAACAGGTCAAGGCCTACAGACCAGCTTCCCTTTGGTACCTGTTCAAGTCTGCACCCCCCCTTAGGGGGCGCTTCATAAACCTGCTTCCTACCCTTACCGAATGTTCCCACCCCTTTGGCTCACCCCTGCCTTCTCACTGTAGGGGTACACATCCAGGCAGTGAAAAACAGGAGGTTCTGGGGAAGGAACACAAGGGTGGGTATAATCTAGAAATCACTAGAGAGTACATGCTGCTAAATACATCAGCTGTCAACGCTGTGTAGGATGTAAATGAAGTTTAACCACAACAGTCAGCAGTTAGAAAAGGGGGTAGAAAAGAAAAACAGAAAACAGTCATATGTACATGCTGCTGAGACATTCATGCAGTGGGGCTTTGTTTTCAGTAACTTTTTCTAGAGAAATATCCCTTGTGCTTTCCAGCCACGCACCCTTCAGGAGAAGACAAAAAGCAAAATCTTATTTTGGGATTAAAACGGCTGTGCTCTAATCCAGTAACATAGTAATGTGCTGGTTAAGATTAAATAGGTCTTCCTCCCCCACCCACACCCCACACCCAATAATAACATGGACTCAAAGCTAGTAGAAGAGCTTCAGGAGCAAAACTGCTTTATCCTGATTCCTTTCAAGAGCTTCCAAAATTAACTTTCTTACCATGATGCCAAATTTCTGGATGTCCATGAAAGTAAGATCCTATTCCATGTCCAACAAAATGTGGACAGACTTGTAAACCATTCTGATGAGTTATGTGGCTTTAAAAGTGACCAAACAAAATATTTAATTAATTTAGAGAAGTTTTTCATGCATACTTAGATATAATAAAATCATTTTAAAATATTCTTTGAAAAAGAAAATTCAGAAATATTTAGTCAGATGATAACATCAATATGTTTTCATTATTCTGGAATCATTTTATTTTTGCCGTTGCTTTAACAACTTCCTTTGGATATATAAAACAAGAAGGTATGTGTCTAATTTGCTTCATTTATCTTAGAACAGCATTTAGACAAGGCCACTTTTACACAACAAATGAGTGTGCACGCCCACGTATATCGACTGAATATCCATAACCAAGATACATGTGCCTATAATGCAGGTCATAAAAACCGTCCTAGTTTTTACCGGGTTTCACAAAAGAACTATGCAAATCACATCTGACTTGGGAACCAAACAGAAAAAAATTATAATCTAGAAATGTGACTTCCTTCTTCTATGGTTCCTTTTGTTCTGGCTTATTTCAAAACACTGTACATTTTACAAATAGACACACTCACACAAAAGATCTAACCTTTGCCGATATTCTTGACACTCCAAAATTTTGTGATCATTTAGGAGTTCTATTCAAGACCTGCACCATTAACAAAATTTATAAAAAATGCTTTTTAATCACTACGATACTAACAGAAGATAGTGTTTTGATTTCTAATTCTTAATGCTTCATTGGTAATTTCAATATGCAAATGTTTTGGGTTCCATCTATCCCATATAAATGAAATTTAGCACATAACTCCAACCCTAAAATCTTCACCTAAAAGGCTTTTGGAATCAGGTAAACATGTTTATTTCTGGGAGCACTGGAAAGATAAGAACATATATGCCATTACCAATTTATATTTTCATGTGGATGAAGGGCATAGTGCCCCTAATCCTAACCATAACAATGGATTGGGATTTACAGGACTACTATTTTAACTCTTAACATAATCAAAGTTCTTAGATCCCAAACTAGAGTTTCTGGCAGACCCTAGGTTTAGTTTACCATAGACTCAATGCTTTATTAGCCAGCATCTTTGTGAGTATTCGTGTCTATATATACTTTCCTCTAAACATTTTTAATCTTCATCTACAGACCTGTAAGATACCTTCATTTAGACTAGGATGCCACTATAACTGGAAGATGGGCGGTCTCTCATTGAGATTTAATTGCCATGCAACTAACAGCACAGAAATAGGTAAACTACACATGTGTTGGGGACAGGAATGATAAGTCTTACTGTTTTTATCTCTTAAGTTGTTCTATATGGTTATGGTTATTTCTGTGGGTCTTTGCACTTTCGGCAAGAAGTATAACACTTTTCCCAAGGTGTTTCTAGTTGTACCACACAATTTCTGATTATAAACTGAGGATGGAAAGTAGACAGAAGGTGGAAGAGGTATTATTAAATAAGGCACTATATATATATAGCAAGAATGAGTTCTACCTGAACTGTAAATTGTTTGTTCAGTCCCAACAAACCTCAATGATTCTAAGAATATTCTATATAAACTGTTCTCCTATTTTCTTTTCTTTAAACAAATAACAAAAGTGTTTTTTAAAAAATTATCAGTATTAAGGATCTAACTGATGGAGAGGGACATCATGCTTGGTAAAGAGGTGGGTCAGAGAAAAAGAGGAAGACCCTCAACGAGATGGATTGACACAGTGGCTGCAACAATGGGCTCAAACGTAGCAACGATTGTGAGGATGGCGCAGGACTGGGCAGTGTTTCATTCTGTTGTACATAGGGTCGCTATGAGTCAGAACTGACTCGATGGCACCTAACAACAACAACTGATTGGCAGGCATCACACTTATATCTTAAATGTGTGTTACAATGGCCATCTTCATTTTAATTTCTGATGAGAGGAGAGGAAGAAAGCCCACTCTGAGAAATGCTCCCCACATCATACCTCTCATTCTTCTTCATAAAAGAACCTATGCAATTACTAGGACGCTAAGATAACTGAGTGCATTCTCCTACAGCAATTTACTCCCTGGATCCTGCTGGAACCTTTGGTTATAGGAGTATCATAAAATGTATGTGTCACGGATGCAAAGGTCAGAGGATTTCACAGCCAGGTGGAAAGAGGGAAAGTACAGGACACATTTCCCTCAGTGCCTTGGCTGAGCACCATCTGCCCATCTCAATGCTTGACTGGTAGTTAGTTTTTAACACATATTTACTGGAACTAAAAGGGAGAATATCTCATTAATGTTCCTAATTACTGCTTCAAGTCATGTCCCTTCTACTATTTTGGGACACACGATTATTTAACCGATTGCAGGGTTTAAATCTTACTTCACAGAAACAACCCAAGAGACTTGTAGTAGGAAATCTCACTCCTCTGACACTAACACAAGTATTGGTAACACCACTTATGGCATGGAAAGGTAGGGCATATGTGACCCTCTTGGCTGGCATGGTGGGGAAAATGGGAAGAGCTGAGCAGGCAGGAGTGCCCAAGAAGTGCTCCCCCATACCAGCCATCGAGGCTATGACTTGTTTCTGTGCACAGCGGTCTTCATTGATGAAATCTGCCTTCTTTTTGCTGAAATCTACTGAAAAGAGCTCTCCAGGTATTAACTCTTCTGTTTTGATTTTCCTTAACTAAAAATTCTCTAAGACAGCACAACACCTACCCAGGAGCCTGAGCACATTTATGATGTGAAGCCCTTCATACGGAATACTTGTGGAGAAAGAAGAAAGGAAGTAGATATATGAAGGGAGTTTATAAACTAACTTTTAAATTATATTGTATTATTATATGTTTCAGTTATATTTATAGTTGAAGGAAAAATCTTTTAAGAAATTTTATCCTGTGACCATTTTCTTCAGTTCATCCAGTGACCATTTTCTTCAGTTTAATTCCCTTTCATGAGGCAGTTATATTCAATTGGAATGTTTATATAAATTAAATTACTTGATACATTTCAACTACTTTTTTATGACTAAGAATACGTTCTCCAAGAGGGTAGAGGAGTACTATATTTAAGTACATATTCTTATAAAAAATTGAAGATGTACACAGGAATAGTTTTATTACTGTTTTTACATGAATCCCAAACAACACTAATCTCCAAATGCATTGCACCTCTAATTAAAGACTCTCAAGGGACATCTGACTTTGTAAGTTATGAAATTTCACTTTAAGCTTTCCAGATTTTTATTTTAAGCAGTAGTTTTTGGCTGAAGGAATTCACAAGTTCAGGAATTCCTTCTAATGACAAGGAATGTTTAAGTACAATTAGTAATATTTTTGAAAGCCAACGACTGTTTTCCAAAAGAATGGCACTTTTTTTGTTTCAAACTGGATCAAAAATTACTGTATTTTTCTTACAATTGTGCTGAACTTTTATTTGAGGTTTTCTGTTTCCGAAAAGCAGACATGATGGATTGAAGTAAAAGATAATTTATTGCAATGCTTACTTTCATGTGCAGAGAGAAGCAGTGTAATTGTAATTTACAGTAGCTGTCAAGAAAAATCCATCACAGATGACATTAAAATGACTTATTTTGCCTGAGCCACTTATTGTTTAAATGTGCATAATCTAATAGAAAGAGATTATTTTTTTAAAATCTACTTTATATTGTTCTAAATTAATATCAAAACATATACTTATGAATTAAACATTGAAAACCATTTATTGATACTTTCATCATGACATTTACAACAATAAGTTTACATTATTTTTGATGGAACTGTCACATATTTGTGATGCATGAATCTATACATCCACAATATTCTCATATGTATAAATCTTATCATCTAGAGATAGTTACAAAAATACAGATTTAGAAATGTTTTAAAGTAAGTGGAGGTATAGCGAGTATAACACTGTAATCTAAAGATCACTAGCCATCCCTCATAAAGCGAAAGGGCACACAGAAAACTCTTTTCATTAAACTATTTTCACTGATATTTCTGCAGACATCACCCTATCGTTTAGCTTTCAGAGGAGAATTTCAAAATTTCCTATAAAGCTCTCTAGATTTTTGGCAACATAATAACACCAACAAAAGATGCGTGAATGTTCTTTTCATGGTGTGTCAGCAGAGAGAGGTTATGCAAAAGATGGTGAATATCTTAAAATAAACGAGACGGAGTTGAAAGGTGTTTGTAAACCTTCAGTTTGTAATGATTCCAAGTACTTTTTGCTTAAAGGTGGCAACTGTTTGTTTATTTACTCCCTTAAGATTTTGTCTGAATAAGAAAAGGCAAAATAATGGATGTCCAGAAACACTTGCTTTTAACGTACCGGAACAAACATTTGTTAGAGTCAGGGCCAGTTTCCTCCCCAGTAGCAGCCATAAGCCATCTAAATAATGAAATGTATTAGGGTAAAAGTAAAAAGTTCATTGTCTATTATTTTCCACATAGTTTTGTAAGTGCAGTTGTTGGGACTGAGCAGGTTTTCAAAGGAGCTTGTACATGCAAATTTGTACTCTGAAAACTGACCTTTGCATCCAGATAGCTAAAATCCAACGTCGCTTTCAATTCTACTCTTCTTCTTTTTTTTAATGTAGCTAGAATTAATGTAGTGAATATGTAATGAAATGCATTATCCTGCATGGAGATTTATCAGATTTTCCAACTGAATGCTATGCTTTGCTAGTACTAGCTGGAGTTCACCTGCATGTTGGTGTGGCGTGTGGCTCTTTTTTATAAAGAGTTAAGTCGTACACAAAAAAAGGGAACAAAGGTCAGCACCCAGCCGCCACTTGAATGTGAGATTTTTCTTTTTATTCCCCTTGATGTATACTAGGCTCTGTGTTATTAGTCTTAATGATGGAAAATTGTAGTGTTGATACAAATCTTTTTTTCAAAGTAGTAGGCGGGAGCTCCATTTGTTAGTAAGTTTTTTTGTGACTAAAAGCCACGGACAGTACATTTATGTAGCAGTAAAAGGCCTAGATGCTCTTTCCATAGCAGAGCTAATTATTCCTACTGTGACCTTACTGATCTAGCCTGTTCCTAGTACATCTCATCTGCACGCCTGTTCCTCTGTGTAGATGGTGTCAGAGAATATGAAAAACCCTATAATGAAACCATTTTCATGATGGAGAAAGGCTACTGGAGTTGCACTTGCTACAAAGAGGCTCAATTATATGAGTAATTGTGATAATTTTCTACATTCATAGCCTTCAATGGGGAAAAAAGAATGAGAGCCACAAAGGAAAATTACTTTAACAAGAAAGTACAGAGAGTAAAAATGGAAGAAGAGACAAAAAGGGGAAAAAATAACCAGAAAAAAAGTTTAAAAAATAGATCTGGAGGGAGGAATAGCGAGACAGGGAGAACAACAGAAATGCTCAAAAGCCCATGTGCAGCTGTGTTGCACAATTAAATTGAATTTTTTTTCTGCAGTTGATGAATGTGACTACTGCAAATGTGCCTCTGTAGTTAGCTATCATTTGTTGTTCCGTGACAGGAAAAGGATAATTACCTCTCAGAGAGAATCAAAGGCTGACATGCCCTTTAGACACAGCCATGAATGCAGAGCTCGATAGAATGCTTGAATAAGAATCTAGTGTTCTCTGCCCCCTTCTACTGAAGAATAAATTTTGTTAAAATGCAAGAGCACCACCAGTAAATTTGTTGAACCCTAGGTGTTCAAAAATATGAGGTGCATCTATCGACTCATCCCATTTGCAAAAATAAAACTGCATTTTGAATTCATTTCTATTATATTCATGGACAGTAAGATAGTGAGATATGCATTAAATTTCTTTTCCCAGTAGGGGTCTGATTCAACATTTCCTATGAAAGAACAGAGAGACACTATCCTTTTTTCCCAGGCTAGTTAGCCTATAATTTAAAACTGTCAAAAACACAATTTTGTTCAAAGTCTTCAATAAAAGCTTCTCAGATATAACCCAAAGAGATTTTACTAAAGTTTGATTCAGACACTGTTACAATATTTTTAAAGCTATAAATACATTTAACTGATATTTTACTGCCTTTTTTCTTAAAGTATTTGAAGGCTTACGGGGGAGGGGGGAAAGGCAGCATCTTTTCAAGGTGACTAAGCCTTCCATCCTTTAGGCAAACGGGAAGTATTCAATGGTTCATATTAATGAGAACAGTCCTTTAAAGGGAACCAGTGTGGTCATCTTTAACAAAACTCATTACGTACTTTTAAATGAAAACACATACTCTACATGTCTACTTCTGAACAGTTATGGAAAAAAAAATCTAAACATAGGTAACAGATTACAAAGAAAAGTCTTGAATTCAGAAAATACACATACACTCGAAAAGCAAGCCTTGTGCGGAAAATAAACAATAAACAATGGTTGACGAGAAAAAAGAACCAGAGCAAGAAAAAAGAAAAAAGAACAGAAGATCACTCTTCCAGACTGTTTGCTAATATACTAATTTGAAAACTAGGCTTGCTTGAGCTAACATTTTTTGTCTTTGTATCACAGGGATATATTTTGCTTCATTCCTTTATTAAAATCTAGCTTTTTTCCTGCCTTATCATCAGAGGACTGGGATATTTAGCCTTTTCTTAGGTACTTTCTTCCAGATTTGGTGTGATTTCGAGTAAAGGTGGTACACTGCAGACCACTGTGTTGGGCTGAAACTAAAGCAGCCATATAAATATTGCCTGCTGCTCCTATAAGGTTTTTTGCTGACCCTGGTATAATTCATTTTTAAAAAAAACCTTTTTTTAACCTAGGTAACAACACTGCAGTCTGGCAGTTCACATACTAATATCAGACTGAAATGATGGTTCTGAATCATAAAACATGTCATCAACTTTATATCAAGCCACCAATAACCTTTGTACCATTTACCAGCCCTCCCTTTACTTGTCAGTGTAGGGCTTACCTGATTGTGTTTCCAATTACAGAGAAGGGAGCCCCTGCTCTGCAAGCTGCAATTGCTTCATCTCTACACCTCCTGGCAACCTCCACTAACTTTTTACCACAGTCATCCACATTGCCCACCAAAAATGTTTCAGACGTGTCTCCATGGTAGCCACAGTAATAGACCTAAACACAGGGAGAAATTTTAAAATATTCCCATGTTTAAAAATCTACTCTCCTAAAGTATAAACTGTGTTCATTTATATATTTAGTAAATTCATGTGTTTCATCCTCTCAGGATTACTCTCAAGTTTACCTATAAAAAAAAAGATGTACAAACGCTGGAACCTCACAGAAATTAAAAAGATGAAACCATGCAGTGATCCTGCAACATTTAAAAATAAACAATGACAGCTACTTCAGCATGGTGATTAACAACACTACTGTAACAGTTTGATTCCTCACTTTAGTCTTTAGTTTTTATAGACCAAACTACACGTGCAAAAATTTACGACCAAAGATATTGATCCACAATTGCCACAAGAGCTTTGGAGAACCAAGATTTAGTTAACATAGTAAAACGTTTCTTTGGTGTCATGAAGGTTTACTAGATCTTTTATTTACCAGTTCTACACTTGGAAGTGATTTCTAAGGATGAGAAGAAATAAGATAGACATGTCAGTATTAAAACAGACAGGAAAATTTAGGTCTAAGAATTGAAGTGGCTCAACATAGAAATGAAACATGTTATAGAAAAATCCTATGTCTAGAAATGAAAACTTAATCAAATGTTCCAGATAGCAGAGTGTTAATAGAAAACACTACGCGTGGATTTTTATAGAATTAGAATATAACAAAACAAGCTTATGAGTAAAGTTATAGAAAACATAATTTTATCAGTCTTCAATGATTCAGATCTTGGAAGATGCCAGATTCATTATATGAATCAACGATTACCACATACTATAGTAAATACAGAAGGCAGAGGAGACTGGTTGAGTATTGATCCTTGGATGTATTGTGGAATTTACTATTTTGCATATTCTTCCTATCTACTTATTTTTCATAACTTTTCTTTCTCATGATGTAGAATGCAGAAGCTGTTAAAAAATATATTTATCTGAGCTTTTTGCCTGTTTTGATACTAAATTAATGTCTCAACTCTGTAAACTATTAAAAAAAAATCTGTGTGAGAAAAGTAGGGAAGGTCTTTATTACATCATCCTTTTTTTTTTTTTTCTTTTTAAAAAATTTCATTGTGGTAAAGTATATGTAACACAAACTTTGCCATTTTAACCATTTTAAATGTACAACTTATGACATTAATTGTATTTGCAATGTTGTGCAACCATCACCACTATCCATTTTCAAAACCTTTTCATCACCCCTAACAGAAACTCAGTATCCTTTAAGCAATAACTCCCCATTCCTCCCTCCCCCAGCCCCTGGTAACCACTAATATGCTTTCTGTGACTACGCCTTTGTCTATTCTAGATATTTCATATAGATGAGATTGTACAATATTTGTCCTTTGGTGTCTTATTTTACTTAGCATAATGTTTTCAAGGTTTATTCATGTATGAGAACTCCATTTCTCTTTAAGGCTGAATAATATTTCTTTGTATGTATATACTACATTTTGTTTATCCATTCATCGGTTGATGAACATTAAGGTACACCATTAGAAGTTTGGCTATTGTGAATAATGCTGCAATGAACTATGGTGTAAAAGTATCTATTAGAGTTCCTGCTTTCAAGTCTTTTGGGTATATACCTAAGAGTAGAATTGCTGGGTCTTATGCTGAACCTTTTGAGGAACCACCAAACCATTTTCTACAGTGGCTGTACCATTTTTACTTTCCCACCAGCAATGGACAAGGATTATAATTTCTCCACATTCTTGCCAACACTTGTTATTTTCCATTTTTCTGATTATTATATCTTACTTTTATAAGTCAGAAAACTAAGGCACAGACAAGCAACTTGACTAAGATTAGTGGCAGAACATAGAGGTAGATCTAGATTAATATGATGGATTACTGGCTTCTAGTTGAGTGTTTACTATATCAAATTGCCTTAATTATCTTGCAATAGAGTAGTATTTTATACATTTATTCCCATTTATAGTCCTTTGCAAGCCAGGAAAGTACAAGCTTTTACTTTACATACAATCATATAAAATTTGCTAAAGAAGAGTAATTATTCAAAAAATTTTGTAACTGTGAATATTTATATAACTGCTATTTAAGTTAAAAAAAATTTTCTAAAATCTCTATTTGTCTTTTCATATTGTTATTTGCTAGCCTTCTAAATGACTACTTGAAAGATTCAAAATATATGTAAATACAATACTTTTGAAAGTCTGTGGCAGTTATCTGTGCTTACTGCTTGTACCCACAACCTATTCTTGTTTCACACTTCATTTGTTTAACAAATATTTATTGAGCAAATACTCTGGGCATCACACTGTCTTTTCTTTTTTTTAACATTCAACTTTCAGGGGGGAAAGAAGCCTATTTTCTTGGGATATAAAATAAACGTAAATAATTATAAAATGTAATGAGTATTTTCTGATAAAAGTATAGGATCTGATAATGGAGTCCTTCATTTAATAACATATTTCATAAGAAAGACAATTTGTTAAGATCGTCTATATGTTTCCTTGACTCCTTCACATTTCTAGACTTGAGAGTACTTTACTTTGCTTTGTGAGTTCTGCAACTGTGAAATCATCTGGATGTTAAAAATGGAATTGTTTATTAAAAGTCTTTAGGAAACTTAGAAAATTGGATATTCTCTTTGAACACATTGAAAACAATAGGGAAGAGTATGATGATTTCATTCAAAGCAGCAATATTTTATTAGGAGGCAATTAGGTGAGACAATAAATGTAAAACCCTAAAATCAGATACAATCCAAAAGAAAAGTATATCATGAAAAAGACTTTTATTTCAGGTACACTTCATAAAATACCTCCTTCTACCTGATTCTGAGTTGGCAAGACACCAGTAGGATATATGTGCACCAAATGTTCAAGTATTCTAAGTAGGACAAAATGATACAGGAAATATCAGCAATAAAAGAACCTTTGGCTATACTTTCACACAAATTGATATGATGGAAAAAGGTTGAATTAATTTAAACAACTAAAAATCTGACTGATTTCAACTATTCGGTGCCTATTTCTACCTCATCCCCACCCCTACTTGAGTTTCATGGTTTGGATATAAAATGACTATTACTAAAAATATTTCCTCATTAATAGAAACTGTATTCCTTGACTGCTCCATCACAGCTAATTCTCATCAGATGTTAAATTTTATTTATTTATTTAAAAGATATTTATTCATCAACAGATGTATAAAATTTATGATCTACATACCCAAAGGCACCATTACAATTTTTTTAAAAAAATAAAACGAACTACTAAAGCATAGATAATTCAAGTTTGAGAATGATGAAAGGCTAAGAAAATTAGAAAAGGTTAGTGCTTCTACAATTTGAAGTTCCTGTGTAAAATTACTTAGGCTTGTTATTTAAAAGAAAGGCTATTAACCATTAGGTGAAAACTTAAGTCCACAGAGAAAACCACTCTGCTTGTATGTGTCGAGTTCAAGGCTCTCTATACCAGAAATGGAACACAACGTTACTTTCAGGGATTTTAATAAATCCAGGGAACACTGCTAGCAAAAGAGTTGCTGTCCAAATAGACTGACACACACAGGCCAATGTAGCCCCTAATGACAGAGTACGATAATGACAGGCCCCACTCAAAATCAGCAGGAAGAGGAAGATCAATCTTCGCAGAGTGAAGAAAAAATGCTGGCTTTCTTCATGTTAGCTCATCTCATACATATCTAGCTTTAGCAGCTGCCCAGTGCTGTGGTGCTCTGCATTAACCACACGGTGGATCAATAACAATTACACCTTCTCAAAAACATGAAACATAGCAGGATTGGGTTGATGTTTCACTTTAGGCCAACATTGATCTCAGTGCATCTGATTCCAGCCCTAAATTCAACTCAGGCCTGGGTTTACTTGGAATAAACACAGAGTTAAAGACAAAAAAGGAAACCAGCTGCTTGCGTCTGGGTCTAGAAGTAAACAGCACTTCCATCGGTGCAGTTCACATTTTCATTCTACTCTTCTTCCTGTTGCTACCAGCAATTCTGAAGTTGATCAAAGACTATTTTTTATATGATTTACTCACCGTGACATCAATGTTGATAATATCACCATCCTGAAGAGGTCGACTGAAACATAAACAGAAAAAAAATGGTGATAGATAGACCTCAATAAAAGGAAAATAAAAATAAATGCCTAATGACCATTGTCACAAAGCCCAACGAGTTCGCAATGATAATTTGGAGTGGAGGAGCAAAAAATGGGATACCTATGTCTAATCTTTAACTTTTGCCAGTCACAGTCATTTTCACAAGAAATACACAGTACAAAACATATTGCGATTATTTAAAAATCTACTATTCTTAAAAAGATGTACTTATTAGTTGCCTTAATTTTGCAAAGAGCCAAAACAATAGCTGATAACCAATATTTGCCAACGTTTGGGTTTTCACCATTCATGCGGTTAAACTCAAAGAAGGTGTAAGAACTATTTAATGCACAACCATTTCTTTGGATTACATACTGCTTTAAAAAAAACATTAAATGACAGTGTTATGTCCATTTAGAAGCAAAGTGCTTCAATATTTTTGTTTTACCGTAATCAACTTTAGAAGTTTGCAGGTGGGTTTCAATTAAACTAAAGTGTCTTTCAACATATGTTATAGATCTTAGTTTCATGTTTTAGCTTTCAAAGGAACAATATGTTATTAAGAAATGAGTACCTGTCGGGAATACCATGACATAGCACGTTGTTCACAGAGGTACAAACAGATTTTGGAAAACCTCCATAGCCTAGAGGTGAGGGATAGGCATTATGACTGATGATTTCCTGATGAACAAGAGCATCTACTTCTTCAGTTGTCATGTCAACCTAAAATATTAAATAAAGAAATTGTGCAGCGACAGTTGAAGATGTTTTCTATATTTATTGACTGTGCCTATAGCAACAGCACTTACGGATGAGATTATATAAATTTACTGCAATAAACTTGTGGACAATATCTTAATTAATTATGATTAATGTTAAAATCCTAAATTGTGCTTTTTGACATTTATTTGGGTATACGATTGTGTTATCGACTATTAGGAAATGGAAATTTCAAAATCTAGGGTCATTAAATCATCTGTGAGTCATTAAATGACATGACTGCCGATTTCAAAAATATGTTCTTAGGTAATTCCTTCCTCTTCATTAGTGGTTAGCACCCTGGGCTACCTGAAGGTACTCAGTTTAGATGACAAAGCTTCAAAGTAGGTCAACTTACACCTGTTTTCTCTGTGAAGGATTAACATGGGTTTTGCAACAGTGACATAGAGATTACAAATCTTCATTTTTAAAACTCAGTCTGATATATTTTGTAGAGATTTGGTTTTCACTAAACTTAATTCACTAAACTTAATGTCTAAATAAAGCAAACGAATTTAACAAAAAAAAAAAAAGATTTTCCCTCAGTAGAAGGTACACAATTGCCCCCAAACTAAAAGAAAATTAAAATTTTATGCAAGCATGAAGATTATCTCCATAAACTCATAAATCATAAAAAAAATCTAAAACAAAGTCTTTTATTTAACAATTATTTCTTCAATAATTTCCTTTGTGTTATTTTATGTTCACATTATTCTTAATTATCTTGCTTTAACAAGTTTATTAAACAGATGACACCAGAAAGGATTTCATCTTTGAGTCTCACTTCCTAAATCCTGCCCACCTTTTGGTAACTACAGGCCACATTTTCTCTTCTGAACCTAATGTGGCAGGGAGTTTCAGATTATTGTGAAAGAACTAAATCTTTTTGCACATAATTACATTGTTAGACTATCTACAGCTTTGTGTACTTGGTCTGATCTTCTTTGCAGAGATAATGCAAGAAAATAGGAGATAGAGGACAAGGTAGAGCAACTCTCCAGGCACACAGAAATAATGCAGTGAATTAAAGCACAAACTATAGACAGCAGTAAAGGGGCAGAAGTCAAAGCCGTCTGCCATTGATCAACTTGGATAGGCTGACTGAGCCAAAAGTATCTCCAGAATTCTGCTACTTAAAATTTAATTTGGATTTAATATCACCTCTTGAATATATACATAAAATAATAAAATCCCTTTCCCCCATCCCAAAGCCGTATTTAGTTTTTAATAGATTAGATGTACACAAAAGCAGGGCTAAAGGGGAAGGGAAGGAAAGGGGGTTTGCTGTCCCTTCTGCAAGTCCTTCTGAGGCTTGGTGAGACGTCACCTTTAAATTCTTCCCAGCCAGGAGGAGGACATGACGGGCCAGCTGACAAGCCTGACGAAGCCCTTGAATCTGATCTTCATTCTTAACTTCTATGCTGTCTCCCCAGTCGGGTACAATGCCTGTCGTCACATAGTCTGGCTTCTTTATGTGCTTGAGGAAAAAGCATTGAGAATGAAGATCAGAACCCAGCACACGACAATGCTATCATTTTCTCGGACACAGCCTCCTGCTTCATGGAGCTCTGCCCTTCCTGCCGGAGCACCGACCTCCCTAAGCCAGCACAACAGACCCTCCAGGCTGTCCCTAGTTCCTTCCCCTGCCCTTTTGAACTTAACATTGCCTGTTAGTGCTGCCTCTGGATGGTCCCTTAACCTTATCGTGCTTTGAGTCAAGTTGGACTGAAGTAGACTTCTGGTCAAAACAAACAGTAGTTTTCTTTTCTTCCTCCTCACAACCCAGATAGAAACATATTGTCACTGATGAAAAATAGCACCAAGCTTCCAAACTGCCAAATGGCTAATTAAGGGCACTTTCATCTTCTTACCACAAATTGAAATTTATGCAAAAGATTGCTCACAACATCATCTCTCAATGAATTTATGTAAAAAGGCTGACTGTCAAGTCCATTGAAGCCTATTACACATACACTTTTCTTACACTTTTGGAACCATACCCAAACTAAGGGAGTGTGTATGTACGTGTGTGTGTGCAGGGGGGGAGGGGGATAGGGATGGAAAGACAGAAAATAAAACAGCCTTCTTTTCTTTTTCTTTTTTTTCCAAGTACATAAAACTACCTAGAATGGTACCATCATTTGCCAAAAAAAAAAAAAAATCCCAAAAAACACCAAACACTCAACTCTGATCACCCTTGTAGAATATTCTATACTACTTACTTAAATCCATGGGCAGAGCTCAGAAAATAAATAATATTTTATACACAGAGCTTCCTTCAGACCCAAGGTTTTATACAGCTCTTTACACTATTTATAGAAACCGCTACATAAGCATTGTTGACTCGTACACAAAAAGGCCACACAGTAGTTTGGGATAGGAAGCTGAGGGAGATAACACTCACTATTCAATTGAAACATCAAAGAACTCTGGAAGGGCTGAGGTTAGAGATCTCCTCTTTGTGAAGGGCATCATGTAGGATTTGAGGGCCTTTGCTTATTCTCATGTTCAGATGGGCCTTTCTAACACAGGTACCACCATAACCCGGCTTCCCACAGCGCAGCTCTGGAGGAGCATTGACTCTCCCAGAGCGTCACCCCCAGGGCTCATCAGGCTTCCCCCAAAGAGTGTGCACTTTACTCCGTGATCTCGTGAGGTTATTGCTACAGGCAGAAGGGCTGTAGGGTCGTCACTGAACTTCTAAAACAATACTTAGTCATCTCTCTGGAGATTTCTTTTCCTTTTTGACTAAGAAAATAAATGTCACTTTTGTGAGTAATACCAAGTGCTCGCCCTCGATCTGAAGGCTGGACCTCAATGGAGCAGGAATGTGCTCTGGGCTCTGGTGGCACTTCTGCTTGTCAGCCTTTGCCACAGAAATGCTCCACTCACCTTCAGGGAGTATAATATACTTAATGTGGACTCACAGTAAAAAAAAAAAAAGCTTAAAAAGGGGAAGCAGGTGATCTTTTGTGACAAATCTATATATTTTTTTAGCTATTCTTGTTCTTCCCAAATAATTCACACACCTCCTTTATATTGCATTTTGAAAAATGGCTAGACTGCCTTTCTACAGAATTGAAAGCTCTGAAAAAAATATTAAGAATGCTCTGAGACATTTTATTTAATTTACCCTAAAGAATGATTCAAAGACAGCATGATCAATAACATGGAAACTGTAAGCGCAGGCTTTAGAAAAAATATCTAGTGTAATGGTTTCAAGTAATCTCTCTTGAGAAATCTTAATTTCATAGTCAAATTTTTTTCCTCTAAAAAAGTTAGGAAACTACATATGTGTTGCTTTATCTTCATGTTAGAAATTTCATATACAAAATTCCATGATAGAAAATTTAATTCTAAATGAGCTAAGTAGTTGCAAATAGAAGCTCAGAGCTTTGTTTTTTTTATTTTTTAAAGAATTAATGTACAGAATTGCGGGATGTTAAAATTTCTCACATCAGGTGCTTGTGTTTTAAATCACAAACCAAGTTTAAAATTTATGATTCAAATGCCCTAGAAATCAAAAGTGCAACAGCATTTGATCGCTTCTACAGTCAACCTTTATACTGGCTGGAAAAAGTAGCAGATGAAAGGTAATACAGTACCTTAGGGACTGGATGAGCTGGAGAAACTGCAGCCGGCAAAACTATACTGTGTGAAATATCTCTTTGTCTCCGGAACAAGAAATTTCTTCTTTGTTGACTGCCGGACTGCTTGTGTGAGTAGATGTGATTGAGTGGTGAAGAGAAAATTCTGTGACAACCTATGAGCAGAAATAGACATACTTTAAGTAAAAAAACCTAACATAGTGCTGTGCTTTAAGATGTTGTGTTGTTATCTATTAAATTATTATTCTAATCCTTTACTGGCTCAAAAAGGAAAAGCCCCAAATATTAGAAAGGAAAGCAGTGGTATTCTGAGTTCCAGTACAATAGTAGCACAGCTTATTTATTAGCTAATACCATGTTTACATAAATGTTTGGCAATGGAAAACTCTAATGGGAAACAAACATATAGAAACATCTGCTAAGAAACAGGTCTATAAAAGAAAAAAAATTTCTTCTGCGGTACCTTATGCGGCAATGTCCAGGATGACCCTGGATTCAGGGCACTGTTTTGATGGCTTTATACTTTTTAAAGCCGTTTTATTTTCAAGAAACACGGACAAATTGCCAACTGCACTTTTTGCCCTCCATAGGATTACTACTCTGTGTTAAGTTCATGTGCAGTGAAGCATTATACTGAAATTCATTGTGATGAATGCTCAAGTCAGATAAAGACCAAATGGCAAAAATGTAGGGTGTAACCCCTAAAGAAAATGAACACAGGGTACTAAAGTACCCACAATAGGAATTTAGAAATATCTATCAAAATTTTAAATGCACACGCCCTTTGACTCAGCAATTCATCTTCTAGACTTGATCCTGTGGATATTATCATGGATGGATGCAATGATGAATGTATAAAGATGTACCCTCATTGCAGCATTGTTTGTAGTAGTAAAAAAAAAAAGAGAGAAACAACCCAAATGTCCATCAGTAGGGAACTGGTTAAATATATTACGGCATACCCACAAAACAGAAAACTATGGAGTCTTTAAAAAGAATAAGCTAAATCACATCTCTACGTATTGATATGGAAAGAGGTCATATATTGTTAGGGAAAAAAGGTGTTGAGCAATATGTATAAATAAGCCTATCAATGTAAAAATGTCTATACATTTATATAAGCTTGTATATGCCTATACAATTTCTGAAAATCAATATTCATCAATAGTGGTTATTTTTAGAGCCTATGATCAGGCTGGGTGTTAGAAGGGAGACCTCTTGATTTATTTAATTTTCTTCTATACTGTTAGATTTTTTTAAAACCATCTACTTGCATGACTTCTATAATTAAAACAATAGTTCAAAAATTTTTCAACAAGCCACAACTGCATGACAGAACATTTTAAAGAGCAATGGCCTAGAGAAGGGGTCAGCAAACTATAGCCTAAGGGCCAAATCTAGCTGCTGCCTGTTATTGTACAGCCCATAAGCTAAAAATGAGTTTTACACTTGTAAATGGTTGGAAAAAAAATTCTGTGACGTGACATTATACTAAATTCAAATTTCAGTGCTCATAAATATAAGTTATCTGGAACATAGCCATGCTTATTCACTTACAGTTGTCTACGGCTTTTAAGCTATTGTTATGAATTGAATTGTATCCCCCCAAAAATGTGTGTCAACTGTATAGTCCGTGATTCCCAGTATTATGTGATCGTCCACCACTTTGTCATCTGATGTGATTTTCCTATGTGTTGTAAATCCTACCTCTCTGATGTTAATGAGGTAGGATTAGCAGCAGTTAATGAGTCAGGACTCAATCTACAAGATTAGGTTGTATTTTTGGTCAATCTCTTTTGAGATATAAAAGAGAGAAGCAAGCAGAGAGAAGGGGTACCTCATACCATAAGAAACAAAAGGCAGGAGGATAGCGTGTCCTTTGGACCCAGGGTCCCTCCGCTGAGAAGCTCCTTGACAGGGGAAGATTGATGACAAGGATCTTCCCCCAGAGCCAACAGTGAGAGAAAGCCTTCCCCTGGAGCTGGCACCCTGAATTTGGACTGTAGCCTCCTAGACTGTGAGAGAATAAATTTCTCTTTGTTAAAGTCATCCACTTGTGGTATTTCTGTTATAGCCCCACTAGATAACTAAGACAGCTATAATGGCAGAGTTGAGTAGTTGTGACAGAGACCATATTGCCCATGAAGGCTAAAATATTCACTATCTGGTCTTTTACAGACAAAGTCTGCTGACCTCTGGTCTAGGGCACTGGTTCTCAAAATGTAGTACTCAGACCAGCAGCATTAGCATCACATGGGAAAGAGATGCAAATTCTCAGGTCCTTCCTCAATCTATTGACCCAGAAACTCTTGGTGAATCTGTGCTTTCACAGTCCTCGTGTTGATTCTGATGCCCACTCAAGTTTGAGAACCACTGGCCTAGAGTAACATTTCAGCGGTGAAACATAATGGAAACATGTACTGCAGGTGAGTACTGGCCCTCAAACTCAAGATCACTAATTGAATTGAAAAAAGGCACTGATACAAAGCCCAGTGATTCAGTGTCATAAATTTCACTAAATTATGTTCTTTCGTAAAGTTGAACGTAACATTGAATCAAACTTACACAGGTGTTTTAGGTATCATTTTAAACAATTCTAAACACCAGACAAAATGCCAGTAATACAATTTCTTTAAAAAATTAATTGCTGATAAAGTACAATACTTCCCTAAAGAAAACATCACCAGCCCAAGGATTGACAGGTGGTATATGAGGGACAGGTTGGTGTTCAGAAGCCTGGACTCGCCTCAGCTCTACCCCTTGTTAGCTGTGTGACCCTGATCAAGTTTCTTATTTCGAGTCAGGTGAGCATTAATTGGAATAAGGTATGTCAAAGTGCCTTGTATTTAGTGGTTGCCCAATAAATGATAGTTTCCTTAAGAGTATTTGAGAGGTAAAATGGGGAAAAAAAGAGGCTTCACGATAGTTTCTAACACTGGGAACATATTATGTGTCAGTTACTATACTATACTATTCTCCACAAACTATATTAGTTCTCTCACAGGTATGAGAGAAAATGAGCTAACACACATAGAAACATTCAGAGAATGTAAAAAGCATCATAAAATAATAAAATTGCTATTATTAAGTTGTTTATCCCAAAGTGGTGGTGGGTTGACTTAATCTATGCATTCTCTCAAGCCAAGCTCCCTTTGCTGACCAAATGTATGCTTCCGCAAGGTGGCTGACAGAAGCTAACTGGTCTGCAGATATGAAATCGAAAATCTGGGTCCCAGCTAAGGCAGAAGAAAGACTTATGTGAAATCAATCCAATCAATGCAGTTAGGGGGCCCCCCTAACTGCATCTCTAGGTAGCAGTGCATACATGACAAAAACACAGTGTTTCCATTACAAGGGAAGTGTGTATTATGATTACTATTAATAATGACAAAAATAATAGAAATAGTAATTTAAAAAAAAAAAAAAACCCTGTTGCCATCGAGTCCATCCTGACTCATAGCAACCCTATAGGACAGAGTAGAACTGCCCCATAGGGTTTCCAAGGAGCAGCTGGTGGAAATGAAGTGCCAACCGTTTGGTTAGCAGCTGAGCTCTTAACCACTGTGCCACCAGGGCTCCAGTAATGAGAATAGTGGCTAACATTTAAATAGATATTTCCTTCGTGTTAAGCACAGTGCTAAAAAAATAAAAACCAAACCCACTGCCCTTGAGTCGATTCCAACTCATAGTGACCCTATAGGACAGGGTAGAACTGACCCATAGAGTTTCCAAGGCTGTAATCTTTACAGAAGCAGACTGCTACATCTTTCTCCTGCAGAGCAGCTGGTGGATTCAAACTGTCAACCTTTAGGTTAGCAGCCAAGTGCTTAACCACTGTGCCACGAGGGCTCCTAGCACAGTGCTAGGTGTGCTCTCTATACTATCTCTGGTCCTTACCAGCCCTGCTAGGTAGGCAGGCATCTATTAACATCACTGTTTTACAGATGAGGAACTAAGGCTCAGAAGAGTTACGTGAGTCCCCATACTCACACCTCTGGTGAACAACGAGCCCGAGCTCAAGCCCCCTAAGTCCAAATCCAAGACAGTCTCTGACATTTGAACCGATTTCAACATGGTAGAGGGGCACTGTAAGCTCTATTAGCTGGCATGCTTTGCTGTATAATGTGCTTTTTTCAGGGATTAAATTTTGATGAAAAAAATTGCTTTCGTCATGTAAAATGTAAATGCCATGGGACCAGCTAACATTTAGAATGAAGGTACTTTTCATGAAAATTCTTAGAAATTATCTAATTGGGAGGCATTGTGGTAGAGTGAAAAATACCATGAGCTTTGAAATCAGACAGGCCTGAGTTACCAAGCCTTCTGAGCTCCACTTTCTTCACTGTTACAATAGGAACAGTAGTGCTTTCTTCACCACTAGGCTGTTGCAAGCGTTAGCTGAGAAAACAAATGATATATGTCAACAATCTCACCCAGGTTCAATTCCAGGCCAGCGCATCTCCTACGCAGCCACCACCTGTCTGTCAGTGGAGGGTTGTATGTTGCTATGATGCTGAACAGGTTTCAGTGGTGCTTCCAGACTAAGACAGACTAGGAGGAAAGAGGCCTGGTGATCTACTTCCAAATAATTAGCCAATGAAAACTGACCATGGGGATGGTGCAGGACCGGGCAGTGTTCAGTTCTATTGTGCATGGGGTTGCTACGAGGCAGCTAAAAACATCATCTAAAAAAAAAAAAAAACAGGTGCTCCATAAAAGTTATTTTTTTTCATTTCCCTTCTCAACTCTTCAACGTGTTCACCTGCGGAGCCTCTAGTTGTTCTTTCATTCAGTGATGACTTACTGAACTCCTACTATATGCCATGCTCTGGACACAGGGAATACAGTGGTGAACAAGACGACAAGGTCCCTGCTGTCACAGAGCTTACGTTCTTATGGTGGGAGGTAGGCAATAAGCAAGTAAACAAATACATTAGATTATAGCAGAGGGTGATATGTGTGATGAAAAAGTGCCAGAGTGACACAGCCCTGGCTGGCACCTTGGAGCCAACGCTCTGCTCCTGGTCATTCCAAGAGCTAACTGCGCAGCCTTGAGCAACAACAACAGTGAACATTGATGGAAAGCTTTCTGGTGCTAAGTTCTGTGCTGAGTGCTCAGCAGACCTATCTCACTGAGATACAGAAGGCTTAGGAA